ATCAATGGTAAAGTTTGGTAAACAATAAAAGGATCATCAGGTTAGGGGATTGCCTTTAGCTATTTGGCCAAAGCAGGGCAATATTATGCTGATTTTTCAGCCCTTGCTGAATATCAAAGTCCATTAGCCTTCCAGCAGACTTCTCACATAATTATGCTAACTACTTGTTGGTCTTAGCCTCTGGCAGACCTCTTCACTTTTCTTTTTCTTTTTTTTAATATATTTTTATTGATTTCAGAAAGGAAGGGAGAGGGAGAGAGAGAAACATCAATGATGAGAGAGAATCACTGATTGGCTGCCTCCTGCACGTCTCCCCCCTCCCCCCACCCAGGGATCAAGTCCACAACCTGGGCATGTGCCCTTGACCAGAATCGAACCTGGGACCCTTCAGTCCCAGGCGACACTCTATCCACTGAGCCAAACCAGCTAGGGCCTCTTCACCTTTCAACAAAGAAAGGGGTCGGACTCTAAGAAAGAAACTCACATTCAATAGAAAAGTGAACAATATTTCTGAGCTCCAACTGCAGCTAGGCATGGCACTAGTACTTTTATATGTTAAGTTACTCGGGCTTCTTAAAAGCCCTATGGGAAGATGCCATTGTATTGTATTGTACCCCGCAAGTAAATACTCAGGACGCAAGACCAGATAGAGTCATTTAATAAGCTGGCCACTGAGAGGGAGTTATGGCTCCAAATCTCCCAGTCCCAAAATGGTGGCAACATCATGCTTATATAGGCAAATATTACAAAGGTATCGATTACATCTTTGGGTTTGGAATGAGGAACCTGCTTTGCACAAAGCAGTTACAGAAGTGAAATTGAGCAAGTTAGTTAACTATAAAGATTAATTATAGTTGTGGGCTCCGGATCACTGAGTCAACCGGAACGCATTATCTGTGGCCACTGAGGCCACTGAGGGTGATTGTGCTGTCCTGGTTCCCAGGAACAGAAGAATGTGCTTCGATGACCAGTGAGATCACAACCAATGGGATATTCACACCACCAACAGCGAAGGATTTAATCGGGGACAGCACACATAAGTTCGAAAATCAAAGTAACTTTTCTGTTGTTAAACAAAGCAAATAAGTACAGAAGCCAAACAGCAGGGTTAGAGTTAAACTGCAGTTTCTACCTGATGACTGCTACCAGACTTCAGCAGTAGCGTTCAGGCGCTGGCTGTGCGGGCTAGTCTTTAGAATGTGGGCACTTCAGCACCTGAGGACATCACCCCATGGGTAACAATGCTGAGCTAAGGCGGCACAGCGCACCGCTCGCAGGGGCTCCCAGCCACAGCTGATGCCCCGCGGGGGGCCACAGGGAGGCAGCCACTAGGGTCCCCTGCCCAGGCCGGTGCCCTGTCTGCTGAGTCACCAAGCCACCCGGCTCTCATCCCGAGTCCCTGGGCATGGCCTGTCCATGTGAGTGGGCTTCTCACCCGGCTCCCAGAGGGAGCACCCCAGAGGCAAGTATTGAAAGAGGCTGCGGTGTCACTCCCCCAGAGCCTGTTGGTCAGAACCAGCTCCAACTCGGCAAGAGGAGGCTGCGCGCGGGGCCGCGGGGACCTGCCTGCGGCGGAGCGGGGCGCGGGGGCGCTGACCGGCGGGCCGGGCGGGCCTGCGCCTTCTCAGTGGAAGTGGCAGCTCCTGCATCACCCAGGGGACCAGGCCGGCTGCCGGGCTGGCGCGCCTCTTGCTGGGTGGCCTCGGTCACTGGCCGCCCCGGGCGCCGACGCTCAGATCGCGCAGCCTGGGAGCGCCGCTCAAGGCGGATGCCGGGTAAAGCCGGCTGCGAGCGCTGTGCACGGACGAGCCTGCTTTCATGGTGTGTTTTCCTTTTGTGCTTGAAGGCATCGTTTTCAAAGACGGAAAAGAAAAAGAAACCGAGTAGCACTAAGAGATATACACTCGGAATTCGCGCCCCCCCCCCCCCCCCCGGAAATGCTCTGGAGCCCTGGGCCCCTCGGGCGGGTCCGGTGGGTCCGGCGGCCACTCCCCTAGCCCTGGCGCTTCAGCACAGCCCGCTGCAGAGGCGGGAAGCCGTCCCGGAATGTGACCGAGAGGCTCTGCGGGCCCGGAGCCTGGGCTTTGTGCCGCAGCTCACACCTTCCCATGACGCCCGGACAGAGCGCCGCCTCCCTGAGGCTGAGGACCCGGGGCCGGGTGCTGGCGGGGCCAGCTCTCCCAGAGGCTTCGAGTCTTGGATTAGCTGGCGAGGGAAACTGAGGCAGGACCGCAGTCAGGGCCTGGGCTTCTGCTCCCGCATAGCGCTCCGCCCACACCACCCCTGTGTTCGGGGGGAACGCGTGACTCGGGGGAGGAGACTGTTTTTGATGCGGGAATTACAGCAAACGCCGCTCCTTCCGAGTTAAACCTCAACCTTCTCGTTTCCTTTTTAGAAAATCGATGCACCAGCGGGCCTCCTCGCCCTGCGGGCCCCTGGTGCGCAGGTCTGTCTCCTGCAAGGACCTCCGGAGTGGCCTTGGAGGGCCCCGGGCAGCTACCTGCACAGAAGCAACCGGAAACACAGGGCCCGTGGCTTAGTTTCCCAGGAGAGGCAGTGAGCAGAGACCTAAGGAAATGTTAGCTATGAATACCGAGCGTTTGGGTGACGGCTGCGTGATGGCGGCATAGACGGGACAGAGACATTTGAAAGCGTTTGATGGAGAAGTTTAGCAGCACCCGTCAAGCAGGGTTCAACTGGGGGTGAGAGACAGTGGTGAAAAGTCAGGATACATATAACATTCTTTTCTGGGGAGACCCTAGCATCTATTCATTCCTGCCTCCTTAGGGCTGCAGTCAAGGTGGGGTGTGAGAGAACGTGGGCATGGCTCAATGGATAGAAAAAAATAGGTTCTGAGGAATGAGGTGCTTTTCTAAGTCAGGGGGACAGGATCCCTTTCCTCCAGCTGATAACCTTTCCTATGACCCAAATCAGCGGAGCAGAGTTTGGCATGCCTTAGAGTCAGGCAAGCTAGAGTCGCCTGCTCCCTCCCCCATCCACTCACTATGTGGCTTTTGGCAAATCCCTAAAAATCCAAGCCTTACTTCCCTCATCTGTAAAATGGGGATGTAAGCATGACAAGAGGCCTCCTTTCTCTTCCATGATTCCCACCTCAGGGGCTTTGCACTTACCGTTCCCACTGCTTGGGATGCTTTTCCCACATACATGTACGTGTAATGTCTGTGCATATATAAACACATATTGACATGTTTGTGTACCTGTGTGCATGTCTATATGTGTATATAGAAATAGATCTAGACATATATAGATGTGTGTCTATTTGCAGAGATATGTCTATATATGTTTGTATATGAATAAACAAATTGTAGCACATTTACACACAGGAATGCCACATAGCTGTTAAAAGGGGTGAAAGAGATCTATAAGTACCCAAAACACACAGGCCTCAAGAGCTAACGTTGAGTGAAAAAAGTAGCTGGATGGTGGACTCAGTAAAAGAAAGTAAGAGCAGGCAGCACGGCCCCGAGACTGTGGCTGCCCCTGAGGGAGCAAGAGTAGGTAGGAAGGATGGGAAAGAGGAGGGAGGGAAAGAGTGGGACTGCAGGGCCCCAGCCGGTGTGGCTCAGTGGACAGAGCGTCGGCCTGCGACTGAAGGGTCCCAGGTTCAATTCTGACCAAGGGCATGTACCTTGGTTGTAGGATCCCGGCCCTAGTCAGGGGCATACAGGAGGCAACCAATCAATGTGTCTCTCTCACATCAGTGTTTCTTTCTGTCTCTCCATCTCTCTTCCACTCTCTCTAAAAATTAATGGAAAAAATATTCTCGGATGAGGATTAAAAAAATAAAATTAAAAATATATTTAAAAATACAGAATGGGCCTTCAGGGAGAAAGAGAAGGAGGGAGAGAATGGGCCTGTGGGAATTTAAGAGGACTTCAGCTGTGTGGATAGAGTCATTTCTTAAAAAAAAAAAAAAAAAAAAAAAACCAGAAGAAAATATGACAAAATGTTACAGTTACAGTTTGTTTAACGTGAATGCACTAGGGTATGTATATTTCATATTTTAAAAGGAGGGAGAGAAAGGAAACGAGATTCCAGCCCCCGATTGCAGCTTTGCCACTGGACATCAGACAGAGGACATAGGTTCTTTGAGGCCAGTTCTCACAGAAGGATGAGTAAGGCTCAGAATTCAGGGCCCTGCGAGCTGGTGGCAGAGGTGTCTGAGGGAGGGACAGGACACCATGCCATGTGGCAGGAGTGTGAGTCCCAGTGCCTTTCCAGAGGTGCCCTATGCAGAGAGACATTTGTTTTCAAAACTGATCAGGAATCATGTGGGTGCAGCCTCAAGCAAATGTGACGCCAAGAGAAATACTGTCCCAGCACACACTCTGCACCGCTGGCACAGGTTTGCGCGGATGGTGCTCGCCCCGACCGAGGGCACACCGGTGGTCGAAGCTTTACTTTCCTCTGCTGTTATTTTAAATTATGTGCCATGTGTGTAGGTCACCTGCTCAGAAAACAAACTTATTTATTTATTTATTGGCAGTATTATTTTTAAATTAATTGAAAGGCCACGATCTTGTCCGTTCCTTCCATTCTAAACCTACTCAAAAAGCAGAGGCCCTGAGTCCCATTTCTAAAAGGTTCTCACGAGGTTGTATAGTCAACCTCCTCCCTGAACACCCAGCCCCATGCTGCCTTGAGGTCGCACAAAGGGAGGAGAGGGTGTGAGATTGGTGCTTAGGGAAGCTGGGCAGTTCCCTCAGCTCCCTGGGCCCGGGGCACTCCTGAAGGGCACATGGGGCAGCCCCACCGGCTCTATGAGAGGAAAAAGTAAGTTCAACATGAGCATCAAACTGTGTCAAAATAGCACCCGCACATTCACGGGAGGTGTGATTTGCCGGGCAAACGTGATCTCTCCAAAGCCTTGGCTCTGTCTCCCCCACTCTCGCAGGAGGGCCGGCCACCTATGCCCGGGCCCCCTGCGGCCAGGGAGACCTCTGGCTTCCGAGATAAAGCAGGTCCTCCTCTCCCCGCAGCGAACATCCTGACGGTGATCATCCTGTCCCGGCTGGTGGCGCGGAGGCAGAAGTCCTCCTACAACTACCTCCTGGCGCTGGCCGCCGCCGACATCCTGGTCCTCTTCTTCATCGTGTTCGTGGACTTCCTGCTGGAGGACTTCATCCTGCGCACCCAGATGCCCGCGGTGCCCAACCAGGTGGTGGGCGTGCTGGAGTTCTCCGCCATCCACACCTCCACCTGGATCACCGTGCCGCTCACGGTGGACCGCTACATCGCCGTCTGCCACCCGCTGCGCTACCACGCCGTGTCCTACCCCGCGCGCGCCCGCAGGGTCATCGCGGGCGTGTACGCCGCCTGCCTGCTCACCAGCGTCCCCTACTACTGGTGGCCCGACCTCTGGGCGGAGGGCCACGCCAGCTCCGCCGCGCACCACGCGCTCGTCTGGGCGCACTGCGTCACCGTCTACCTGGTGCCCTGCTCCATCTTCTTCGCCCTGAATTCGGCCATCGTGCGCCGGCTGCGGCGGAGGAGCGCGCTCCGCCTGCGCGGCTGCCCCGCGGGCCGCACCACGGCCATCCTGCTCGCCATCACCTCGGCCTTCGCCGCGCTCTGGGCGCCGCGCATCGCCGTCATCCTCTACCACCTGTACGGCGCGCCTGTGAGGAACCGCCGGCTGGCGCACGTGGTGGCGGACGTGGCCAACATGCTGGCGCTGCTGAACACGGCCGCCAACTTCTTCCTGTACTGCTTCATCAGCAGGCGCTTCCGCGCGCTGGCGGCCACCACGCTCAGGGCGCTGTTCACCTGCCGCAAGCAGCCCGCGCAGTTCCCCGCCAGCCACAACTTCTCCATCACCAGCAGCCCCTGGGTCTCCCCCGCCAACTCGCACTGCATCAAGATGCTGGTGTACCAGTACGACAGGGATGGTAAGCCTGCCAGCGCCTCCCCGTGACCCCGAGCTGATTCAGGCTGGGGTAGGAGGGCGGCGACAGAGGCTGCCTGCCTCCAGGGGCTGAGCAGCTCAGACTTCGGGTGAGAACAGACAGAGGAGAACAAAGTTTGCACTTGCGCCATTATTGTCACAAAGGCACCGTGACAGCTAAAGTCCCTGCCAGTTGAAGGTCGTCTCATCACTCTGTGGCCAGTAAGGACGGGGTAGAGACACGTGTGAAATAGTCTGTGACTTGGCCCTGTCGACAGTCACACTCACTGGAACTGTATGTGGCGCATGAGGCACAGTACCCCTAGCTGAGCCACTCTTCCTCAAAGAGCTGGGGTCACCCGTCACTTCCCAGTGCTCTTCCCAGCAGCTAGCAGTGCTGACCAATTTGGGATTTTTCTGGGGTGCCCTGTGTCCCAGAGAAGTTGTGGTTTTGGAGTGGCCCCAGCACTCCTCGCTGCAAAACGAATCTGTGAGAACAGGGTGGTATCGTGTCATCATCCTGTGGCCAGTAAGGACGGGGTAGAGACATGTGTGACCCTGGCCAGAGCTTCTTTGGAAAGACTCCAAACCAACATCACTCTACCCTCAGCCTTTGAGGTCCGAGGCACAGTCTTTCTATTCACCGTGATGTGGACACTTTATCCATCTCCTTCAACGCAGAAACCCTACTGCTGCAGGTGGAGAGGATGGTTTCTTGAGCCCAGAAGAAAAAAGCCCACTTTGCCATTGTTTCAGTTCACCCGTGTGAGCTGTGTGCAGTCCTGTTAGTCAAACAGCTTCCTGCTGCAGCCCTGCTGCGCTTCCTGGAGAAGCCTTTCGCACACAGCCGCCACCGCCTCCTTGCTTGCTGAAGCCCCCACCACCTCCTTTTATTTGAAGTGACTTCTGAGCTGGATTTGATTTTTGAGGGCCAAGAGCTGTAGCTCTCCAAGTGTGAAGACAGGATTCTCTGCTTTGCCCACAGGCCAGCTGGCTTTGCCATCCAGCCACACATGCAGACACACACTTTGCAGGCACACATGTACAGGCACACACATGCAGGCACACATACATGCAGTCACACATGTGCAGGCACACATGTACAGGCACACACATGCAGGCACACACTTTGCAGGCACACATGTACAGGCACACACATGTACAGGCGCACACATGCAGGCACACATGTACAGGCACACACGTGCAGGCACACACATGCAGGCACAGTTGACATGGTGTCTGTGTTGTCCACTTGTCTGCCCTTGGATGCACATGGCGCAGGATGGTGGTGAAGCTATTTAATCCAGATCCTTTGCAAAATGATAAAATATAAATTTATGTATTTATTCTCCCCTTGCCTATCCAAGGCAAGAACAGTACGAGGTGGTAATTAATAACAACTTCCCTGGAAATTACCACTCATGTGTGCGCATGCGTGAGCACGCGCGCGCGCGCGCGCGCGCACACACACACACGCATGCGCGCATACACACAGTTGACTATATTAGCTTCTGTGTATCTAGTGATGTGTTTGAAAGGAAAAACCACACTGGAGCTCCTCTTATTCCACCTTTCGTTCTCTCTCAGATTCCCTGTTCTGGAGGAAATCACCTGAACAGCTTTGGAATTGCGTAATAGTCTTCATGACCAAACAAACAGCAGACGGTCCGCCTGAACCCTTGGTTCCTCGGCATTTGTTTCTATATTAGAAGACATGTCCCCCTTTTCCAGGGAATTGGATGCGTGAGCGTAGTAGTGAGCGCCCAGAGCCACAGAAGCCCTGAACGTCAGCCGGTGCCCTCAGTACTGACTCGGTGTAATTTTAGGTCATGTTAGTCCTGATGATCCTAATTCCCGCTCCTTTTTACTAGTCGCAGTAGAATATCATCTTACCCAAAGTTTCGATATGGAAGTCAGTGCAGAAAACAAAAACCAGCAGAGCCGAAGCCGCCCGCCCGGCAGCACCCTCTGCAGGGAGCCCTAGTGGGGCCATATTCTATCCTTAGAACAATCAGACACAGCAAGTCTTGCTCCAGCAATGAACAGTGGCTGTTCTTCAGTCTGAGGACATGATAGAACTGGATTGTGTTTGGGGACACAAGGTCTGACTCTATAGTATGTGAGAATGTTAGGCTCAGTGGCAGGCTCCCATTAGCAGAGGCTCATCCAGCCATGAGACTGGGGAGCAAGCAGGTTCCTGCACTCTCCCCAAGGCACCTGCGCCCGAGTGGCATGGCGGGCAGGCTCCCACACCCCTGAAGTTGCATCTCTCTGTTTCTTTTTCCTAAGCATGTGTAGTCAGATGTGTGTTCATTTAACATGTGTATGAGGAGATTCACCACACTTCCTATGAATAAACATTGACCTACACTTACATTTATAGTAGCCCGTCATTCTGAACACGCCAGCTTGAGCATATGTGAACGGCCGCAATGCAATGTCCGTGAAGGTTAGGCAGTTCCTTTTTTAGAATGCATGTGAGATGGGAGAGGTACGTGTGTGCTCAGTGCTCTCCGCTCCATGGTTTGAGTTACACGTGAGAGGTCATTGCTGATGTTTAAAAGTAAAAGCTGGGCGTGCGTGTGAGGTGTTTTCCTTGTTCACTCACTTGTCACTTCTGTTAACAGTAGAGGCTGCACCAAGTAGCCCTGTGACCCCTTCCTTCTGACTGTATTTTGTATTTTGATAAAATGATATTTAAAAGAGGTCTAGTTTTTAAATTTTTCCTTTTGCATTGTTTATTTATATTTTTCAATTACAGTTTGCTTTCAGTATTATTTTGTATCAGTTTCAGAGTTAGACAATCACATACTTTTCAATCACATAATTTCCCCCTGGCACCATATATAGTTATCACAATATTAATGACGCTGCAACATTAAAGTACAAAATGCTGTACCTCACATCCCGACGCTATTTCATTACTGCCCATTGGTACTTCTTCACCCTTTACAGACCGTCTGATTCTTGTAGGCACTCTGCGGTACTGTCTTTTGACTAAAATGCATATGAACGCCTGTTGGGTTAGGTTGATACATGTCTCCTAAATGCATTTCAAATAATCTATGGACTTCTAATTTATTGTTATTTTCAAGTTATTACTATTTACAGTAATAATTGTGGGCAATAATGAAAAGTTTTTTTAAAATTTTGTCTTTTCCTCAGGCCAGTTTGTAAATAAAGCCTTGCATTGTGGAGCTGCCGTGTAAGCAGCTGCTGCTGACAGCACCAGGCAGCTCCCTCCCAGGTCTCTGCGGTGCTGCTAGCTGCCTCTTGTTCTCTGTGTCTGTGTCCTTCTGGACACGCAGTGATGCTCCAGACACACGCACTATGTCTTCTGGGTGAACAATGTGAGGACTGGCATGTCTCGTGGGGAAGGAAATGAGGAGGATGAGAGACAAACCATAAAAGCCAGGAAACGAGAGGGCACACACTTCATTCTGCAAACACTGCAATTGGAGAAGATTACTTTGCACAGTTGTTCCTCCTTGTCCAATGGGGAGGCCTATTTGAAGTGAATATAAGACACTAAAGTAGGCTATTCCAGCTCAAGTAATGGGATAGAGTATTATAATAGAAAACCAGGATTTTTCATATTTTCTTAATTAGAAAATACATTGTATTTGGACTTGTCTGTATTATAATAAATTCTAATATGGTGCACACGTGGTGTTTGGTATTTACATATATGTTCAAGCCCTTGCAGAACACTGACTCAAATTGTTTCAATGAGCATCTTGCTTATACTTCATTCTGATCCAGCCTACATCCTGGTGAGTCAGATATATTTCAGAATTTAAGGCCGCTGAACTCAGATTCCAGCGGTCCTGACTTAGGCAGCTTGCTGGGTGTAAATCTGAATGCTCTTATGTCCACATCTTCTCTGTGTCTTCCAGACAGTCAGAGCTCATTGTAGGTAGAAACCTAGCATAAGGCTAAGAGCTTAGACTTAGAAGTCAGACAATCATGAGTTCATGGCCCAGCTCCACCATTGACCAGATGTATGGCCGTGAGCAAAGCCCTGAGACCTCTGAAAGGCCATCCTCAGGCAGAAAAATGGTGCACGAGTTAATTTTTTCCCAGTTGCCTGCAAGGTATGTATGAGCTTTCATGGTCAGTAAGCCAAGGTTTTGAGTCCATTATTGTGAGCTATAACTTTGCCGGCTCTGCCACTTCCTAACTGCATGGCCCTGGGCAATGTTCTCAATCTCTCTGGGTCTCCGTTTCCCCTCCTAAAACAGGGGTAACAATAACCCAGGACATACCGCATGGGGCAATTACTAGCAGTAGAACTAAAAAGAGCCGCCAAGTGTACATCCTTTCCCAGGAGAGGATGCGGGGCCCAAAGAGGTTAATGATTTTGTCCAGAGTAGAAGGCAGGTCACCTAACATTCTATCCTCCCCACTCTGCCTCATTGCTTCCACGATTCTGACTCATGCTCCAAAAGGTCACATTATTTTTGGCCCTTTATAGACTTGGGAAGACTGCATAGTTTTCCAACTCTTCAAACCCAGGGCATCCAAGCACCAGATCTATTATAAACGCATCATAATTAAAATATTTGGTTTGACCTTCCCCTGTGAGGGAAATACTTCAAATTGACTGCACAGTTCTCATACTTGTTAGGCATTTTCCTCACAAACCACCATAGATTCTGACAGCCACCCACAAACTGTTGTCACAATCCACCTTTGCATCAACTTGGAGAATAAAAGTAACTTACAAGCGGTTGAGAGGGAGATATAGGAAAGCAAAGACTTTGCTAGGAAGGTCACACATAGACGCTGTTAGGCATGGCCACGGCGTCCTCATTAATTTTGCTCACCATGCAGGGAAGCAGGAGAAGAGTGAAGTGATGGCAGCTGAACTGTGTAATAATAAGCCTCTGGTGGGTGTGCTCAGCTAAGTGTGACGGCCCGGCCTCTGCAGACGCGTGCGATGAATCCACATACTTGCCAGGCACCACAAGGAAAAGAGACTCGTGTCAACTGGGATAAATAGACACCATGAGTTTCCTGGTTTATTGCGAGAATGTATCACTGTCATGCCAGAAAAATAAAACTTTTCTGATTTAAAAAACAAAAAAAAAAACAGAGAAAATAAACCAGGGCCACTGGGAAGAGGATGCTTTCTCATCAGCTCTGCGGGAGGAGTCACGGGCCTCAGGCGCTTTGTTGCTGTGACTGTCAGGAGCACATTTTCTCTCCACCGGAGACAGGACAGGAGGGTGAGGCTTAGACAGAGCATGAAGCAAACAGATTAAACTCCAAGAAGAAATCTCCACATGATGCTACTAACTTTGCAAATGGTCTTTGCAGGCATCCGTAGGACCTATTTTCCCAGACATATTTCCACATGGACTATCAGTCAGTCTTGGAGAGAAGCAACTTTCACTCAGAGAGTTTCAATGAAAAGCCTTTCATCAAGAGACTGCTAAAAGTGGTCTGAGCAGGAATACGGAAACCAACAGGAGCCACTGCGGCACTGAGGAACTAGAAGTAAGAGAAGCCTTCCCTCCTGAGGCCATGGGTGACAGCGGGAACCGCCTCTGCAGCCCAGCCAGGCTGTGCTGTGGAGGCAGCCTCCCAGCAAGCACCCACGCCCAGCCGGGGCCATGATGCCAGAAAGGAGGGCAGTGCCCAATCTCGCTCTCCCTCCCCTGATATCATCTGATGCCTCCCCTGGCCATGCTCAAAGAGAAGTCAGCCAGGAAGAGAGAGCAAGTGGTGCAGTCCACAGGGACCAGACACCCAGACACAAAACAGTAAAAAAAAGATCCAGGGTGAAATGAGACAAAAAACTATTGAAGAATATCCAGCAAGGGTTAGAGTCTTAGTTCTCTACCATTGGATATTGGAGGGACCTTAAAGAGCATGTCACTTAAATATCAAAGGAAGCTAAGGCCTCAGAGATTCCCTGACCCAAAGTCACACAACCTTGATGTTGGTAGGTCCTCTTTCCAACAATTTTCTAGCACATCCCCAAAAACATAGTACAGACCGTCACATACTTGTTTTCTGTCTAACTGTCATGGTTAGACATTTCTTTTATTGATGCTTAGCATTTCTAATGA